CAAAACAAAGGTGTTGAATTAGATGGCTTCTGAATTCCCTTCCAGATTTATGACTGTGATTTAATAAGAATCACCATGAATAAAAAAAAAATAAAAGAATAAAAAAAGCCTAGATTGGTTGCCATCTGCACAGATAAAAGAAATGCTCATATTAGTGAATTTACAAGACTGAAGACGCATTCAAGTTTGCTACTTGTATTAAATGCAATCCTTCTTTCTCTTCCTTTCCTCACACATCAAATCCTCCATTGTCCCCAAACAAAATAGCCAAGTATAAAAAGAAGAAAATAAAGACAAACTAGGAGAGAAAAACCTAAGTGACAGCATGATACTGAAATCTACATAATATATTTTGACTATAAGAAAACCAAAGATTGGCCAAAAGAGGAGGGAATTTTTGTTTGTTTTGTTTTCATTTTGTTTCACTTTCATTTTTAACATCCAGGACATGAGGCAATTGGGTGGTATAGGCCATAAATTGCAGAACTTAAAGTCATAAAGACTCAAGTTTAAATCCTGCCTCAGACAATTCTATGTATACATAGACATAGAGATAAGCACCAGACATATGATTTCAACAGTAAAGGTGAAGAAACTTCTGGTGAGGAAACTCCCTTTACCAAAGGTCAGTCCCTTTTTTGTGACTTAGAGTTTTAGAAAGCTTTCTAGGGCATCGAGTAGTTAAAAGACTTGCTCAAGATCTCTTGACTAGTATATATTGGAGGTGAGACTTGACTCTAGTTCTTCCTAGTTTTGAGGATGATTCTCTATGTAATACATCATGCTGCCATACACACATACATTAGAATACACATATTATAAAATATGTATGTATCATATCTATGTATACTATAAAAATGAAACCTGCCTTAGCTATTTGTGTAACCACTGAAAAAAGTTTATAGTTTCTACTTTAAATCTTAGAGGTGGCTAAACACTTTACTTCTAAAATAGAAACACATCCAAAAAAAAAACCCAAAAAACAAAAAACGACCTCTCATTTATATTACTTACCCATACAAATGATTTTGCAAGCCCATAAATTTATATGTAACAAAGTCTGTATCATTGTATAATTTGTGAAAATGTTACTTATTTTAGTGTTTCTAAAATAGAACCCTATAAGAATCTATTTAAATTAAATTATTTGCCATTCTGATGTCTTCAAAATGTAAATTTAAAATAGGCAATATAGACTTCAGATTCTTCAAAGATAAGCCAGTCCATGTAGTAAAAAATTAAATGTAGTACAGAAGCGTAAATACATATGTATGTGTGTATACACATATGTATATGTGTGTCTGTGTATAAGCATATATATATTATGTTCGAATATATACTTATATGTTCATTACATTATATGTCAAGGCTTACTGTATAAGACCATTGTTTGGCTTTTCATTTAAAAAAAAAACATAAATACTATATGTTGACTATATCTGGCCCCCACCATCACTGGATTCTAAGCTCTTGGAATAACTGGTTTTTTTTTTCATTTTTATATCCCTATTCAGAGGCACAGTGCCTTCTCAATAGTAGGAACTTTAAAAATATTTAAGTAAATTGGATTGGAAGATCGCCAAAAAGTTATCTATTCCTACCTATTCTTCAACAAAGGCATACTTTTGTATCACCTTGCTTCCAAAACACACAGCTGTACAGATTTCATTAAAAACTTTATTATCCACATTTTTGACCTCTAAAGATATTAGATTATAATAATCCTAGCTATCATGACAAAGATCTAAAGGCTAGGATCTTATGCAGTGAATATGTGGTTTTAAGAGAGATTAGATAGTAAGCCTTCATATATAATCCTACATAAATATTTCATATAAATATTAAAGGACATATACATAAAATGGAACCACCTCTGAAGAACTAACAAGGAGTATCATAAAGAAGGCAATAAAGAGGCATATAGTCGGCATGAGCAGCCTGTAACATATGACCAAAAAAACCAGTGAATGTAAAAGACACCATATGATAGAAAGAGAAGATAAGATGTGGCAATAATGAGGGAAGACATGTGGACAGTGACAGAGCTCCACTGGTACCCTAATAGTGTTAGAAGAAGACAAAAGAAGCCTCCAACCAATTGGGTGGACACTCTTGTAACAGCTTTTGGGAGAACATGGATAAGAATCTCACAAAATGGGCAGGTATGTATGGCTTTTCATCCATATCACCAGAGGAAATTACTTAATTGATGAAATCATAGATCAATTAGAGTGTTTGAGAAAAGGGTATATGTTCTAATTACTTCTACCCAAGAAAAAAAATCATAAGTATAAAGTTATTTTTATTTTTTCACATTATCACAATTCATAGTATAGCCCATCTTGTTAGCAATATTACATTACTGAAATCATGAAATACCATTATTTCAGAAAAAAATACATAAATGACCCAAAGGGTTACACAGAAAAAATGTTTCTTGCAAGGAATCTCTAGTACTCCCTGGTTCAAATTGGTGAGTCATTTTGCCTTAATTTGCTGGGAACCAGGCCCATATTCCACTGTCACTTCCTTCAGTCCCTTCATCCTGGCCTCATGTGGGTTCCCCCTCTTCTTTCCCCTCTTCTTTCTTGTACCTTTTTATTTGTTGTCTTTCTTCCTTAGCATGTAAGTCCCTTGAAGTTAGGGACAATGTTGTTTGCTTTTATTTGTATCCTCAGCCCACAGGGCAAGTACAAAGGAAGTATTTAAATAATCTCCCTGTCTCTGTCTCTGTCTCTATCTCCGTCTGTCTCTGTGTCTGCCTGTCTGTCTCTCTCTCATTTATTTCACTCATCTATCTATACATTGAGAATAAGCATGTTGTCAGTGATGATCTACATCAGAAAGTCAAATATATATTGAAAACCACAACACTCTTGAGTACAGCTGAAACCTATTTAAAACACAATTGAGAAATGTTTAACAAAATAAGCAGAAATAAAATAGAGCAGAGATGGTGTTAATATATGGTTTTCTAAGTCACTATGTGGCCTGCAGAGATCCCTTTTTATAGTTTAGTAACCTCTATTTCTTTTTTTAATGGTAATTTTTATTTATTTTTTTGTTTTCAACATTTACTTCCACAAGCTTTTGAGTTCCAAATTTTCACCCCATCTCACCCTTCCCCCCACTCCAAGATGGCATGCATTCTAAATACCCCTTCCCCTAGTCTGCCTTCCCTTCTATCTCTGCCCCCCTTCTCTTATCCCCTTCCCCTTCAATTTTCCTGTAGGGCAGGATGGATTTCTGTACCTCATTTCCTGTATTTCTTATTTCCCAGCTGCATGTGAAAACATTTTTTTTAAACACGTGTTTTTAAAACTTTGTATTCCAAATTTTCTCCCTTCCTCCCTCCCCGCCCACCCTCATTGATAAGGCAAGCAACTAAATATAGGTTATATATGTGCAGTTATGCAAAACACTTCCATAGTAGACATACTGTGAAAAACTAACTCTATTTCCCTTAATCCTATCCCATCCACCCATTTATTCTAATTCTTTCTTTTGACCCTGTCCCTCCTGAGAAGTATTTGCTTCTGATTACTCCCTTTCCTAATCTGCCCTCCTCTCTATCATTCCCCTACTCTCTTGTCCCCTTCCCTCCCCCATTTTCCTGTAGGGTAAGAAAGATTTCCACACCCAATTGAGTGTGTATGTTATTCCCTCCTTAAGTCAAATCCTATGAGAATAAGATTCACTCATTCCCTCTCACCTTCCCCTGTTTCCCCTCCACTGTAAAAGCCTTTTCTTTTCTGTTTTTTTTTTGTGAGTAACCTCTATTTCTATTTGAGTTTGACATTACTGACCTCCACCGAGAGAAGTGTTGCAAAACAAATTGAAAATATGTATGAATGGAAAACAAGGTAAGGCAGTTATGTAGTAAGAGTAAGGAGTGCTGTATTTGAACCACTGAGATACTAAAAACAAAACAAAACAAAACAAACAAACAACAACAACAACAACAACAACAACAACAAAAACCCAAAGATGAAAACCTCTAGTAAGCTGAAGTAAACCCATGGACAGAAAGTGCCTACACTGAGATTAGATAGAGTTGCTATCTATATCTTTGAAAGAAGTATTTAGATAGGAAAAAAAAATCAAAGATCTACCAAAGTATAAAAGAAAAATACAACTAAAGGTCTATTTTTCAAAAAATAAAGTGAATCTCAAGGAATTACATCCAACCAAAATATTACAATACCTGAGTTAGTAAAAATAGTAACAACTGAGAAGGAAACTGTGGTTGTCTCTTTCAGTGCTTACCATAAGTGTTCTGGGCTTCATGGGCTATTATTATTCTTTCCTGTGTAAGCTATCTTATATTGACAGCATCCTTGTTATGTTACAGTGTGACAATGTCAGAACTACAGAAAGTGGACATGGCATATGATTTACATATTTAATTGATGGATAAGGAAGCTCATCTGAGGAAACAAAATAAAAGCTCACTGAGGACAGGGACAGTTCTCTTTGTCTTTGTATCCCCATAATTTATCACAGAGTCTGATACATGGCAGGATACAGTCTGGACCTGTAATTTTAATGACAAAGAGAACTCCCAAGTGGAATCTTTCTCTACCAAAGCATGTGGGCATATTCTTTGTAAATAATAATCTTTAAGACTTGCCTAAAACCCTGAGAGGTTAAGGCTTTCATGGCAAGAATGAGTCAGAGGTAGGATTTGAACCTGCATATTTCTGACTCTGAGATTAACTCCTGCCTACTATACCAAGCTGGCACTTAATACATAGTAGGCATTTCAAAAATGCTAGTTGATTAATTAGTTGTTTGGTTGAAGCAATTTTTTAAAAAAAGAATAAATGAAGTCTAGCATTTTACAGCACATCGTTCTTTCACTTTAAATATCTCACTAACATATTTCTTAATAATCCAACATTCCTACAAATCTGAAAATAGTATGCACATCTATCATAGCTACTATAGTACTTTAAAATGAACTTAGTTTTTACTGATGGATTAATATATTTAATACATACGTGTCTTTCTAGCAGAATCTTCCACAAATAGAGAAGAGATGTCTTCATCTACCCCTGCTTCATTCTTAGCGATACAGGTGTATGCTCCTGTATCTTCATAGCGCACATTGCTGATGTGAACTTCGCTGCCATTTGCTGAAAGAAAAAAAGGAAATGCAACTTGTGAACTACAATTTCAGATTTGGTACAGTGCTTTCTGATTACATAGTCACACCGTGCTCTTAGCTCATCCTAATTAAATGTTTTTCCTTCCTGAGTTTGTGCACTAGAAAAATGCCAAATGATTTCAGAAGTATTCAAGTGGTTAGTGAACTCGACGATTACTCTATTTGCTGATAACAGGAACAGAGAATTTCTTTTATAAAGTCTCTTCTTGGATCTTTGTGCTTATTTAAAATTATATGTTTAATATATGAAGCAAATTGCAATGATAAATTCAAAATCTTGCTGTACATGCTACTTTGTTATCTTTTCTTTCCACTTGGTAAAATTATTGAGTTAATGCAAGTTTTTTTACATTATTTTTAATGAGGTAATTTTCAGTATCATAAATGGGACAAAGCATGTCTAAGATATATGCAATGAGTTTACCTCAAATTGCATAACCACAAATGATTATATCAGGAACAGGCTGTGGGCACAGAACAGTGTACTGACATACAAGTAAAGTTTGCTGGTAACATTCTATTCCCATGCATCAAGCATCAAATTATGCCTTACTTTCCCCTTGAAGATATTTCCAACTACTATAGTTCACTGTGATTGCTCTTAATTTGACCACTTAGGCACAGAAACAAAAGGAAACTTCCTCAACTCCTTTCCTCTATATCTCAGAACTTTAATATTTGTCCCACTTAATATGTCCTGTCTCAAAGGCAGTCCTTTTCAAAGCTAACCCTTTCTTCACTTATCTGTATCCATTTTCATATGAAACTATGTAGCAAAAGTATCCAACAAAATCAGGCATGATCTCAGTATAAACTTTGTACTTGAGCTCATGGATCACATATATAAAACTAAATGTACCTTGAAGAGTTAGCTGCTTAGATAGTTTTGGAGTAATGTCAATTCCATTCTTCAGCCATCCAAGCTGTGGTTTGGGTATGCCGTCTGCATGGCAGCGGAGACTAGCTGTTACACCGGGTTCTCTGGCCTGGCTCTCTGGGTACACACGGATAACTGGTGGAACTGAAAAGCAAAAACAAGTGAAAACTGAGTGAGTTTCAAAATAATTTAGTGATATAATATGGTACTGCCAGCATGTCTAATATCGATAATTCAGCTTTTAATTCTGTCACTTAGAAAATTTGTTGTTGTTTAGTTATGCCTAATTCTTCATGACCCTGTTGGGGTTTTCTTGATAAAGATACTGGAACAGTTTGCTAAGACCTTCTCCATCTCATTTATAGATGAGGAAACCGAGGCAAATAGGGTTAAGTAAGTTCCCCAGAGTCATACAGTTAGTAAGTGTCTGAGGCCAAATTTAAATTCAAGAACCTAAGTCTTCCTGAGTCTAATCCTGGCATTCTATCTACTGCACCACCTAGCTGCCTCACATCCCTTACAAAATAGGGAAACATAACCAAAATGAACTGAACATTATGATTGAACAACATTACAAACCTCTAAATTGAGCCAATCATGTAGTGTTCCCATAACTTCCTTAGTGATCATTCACAAATTAAAATATAAACACAAATTAAAATATAAATGCAAGGAAGGTATATGAATCTTGAACTTACTGAAATTATTTTAACTTTTTTTTCACAATATGTTTTTATAAAATAAATTTACAGGTACAAATTTTACCTCAAAATTATTATCAAGATAAGTGCAAATAATTACACAGAATTGATTAAAAACACTCAAATATACAATCTTTCTATTCCAAAATATTCCATATAGTTTACAAATAGACAGATATCTCTAAGTTTCAAATGAAGTAGCATTTAGAAACATAAATTGATTTAACTGTTTTAGCAGAATTTGCTAAACTATTATCATCATTTCACATGGTGCTAAATATGGAAACTATTGATTAGATATCCTGTATAAAAATAAAAATTTAAAAATGGAAGTCCAAAATGTATAATTTTATCAAATTTAGACATCTCATTCATTATTTTTGGTAAAATAGTAACTCCTCTTACATCTAATAAGGAGCAATTATTTTAATATATTAACTTAGAAATTCAGTAGCATCCCTACTCAACATTAATAGGTAGCATTGTGATAAGTTCGACAGAAAGAACATAATTTCTGTTGTGGACAGATAGCATTCGGTAAATTATATAATAGGACAATAAAATGGTAGAAAAATTAAAATGTCATCAATGAACATTTATGGATATAAAAAGTAAAGAAATAAGAATAATATGCTTATAGACAATTCATTTCAATTCAACTAATACTTATTAAATGCAGACAAAAAGTAAATCTCATGACCTGGGGATGTCCCACTAGCCTGAACTTACTATTTTTCTGTTAAAATACTGAGAAATATTTAGTATTTTCTTAAATTTGCTTTATGTGTTATGTATTGTACCTTAACTGTTCATGTAAAATTACACATATGTTCCATTTTACTCATCAACCTATTTTCTATGTACATGCATACACATAAACAGACAAATGTATGTGCATACACAGACATACTTGCATAGTTTCTTACCTATTTTTCCTCCCTTTCATGATCTTCCACCTATTACTCCCTTTTCTATTACCCACTATCTCCTATCATTTACAAAGTATATTTTAAAACACTGAGCTGTATTTTGTTTCTGCCTAAGGTATATGAATCTTGAACTTACTGCTTGTCCGTTATCATACATTCAATTTTATTACCACTTTCTAAAGCACAAGTACCAAGTATCATTTTATTGTTTTTATATTAAAGTTCCCTCATGCATGCAACATTTCTTTAAAAATAAATGTGAGTGAATGAGTGTTAATGAACACCTATCTATGACTATGTGTGCTTATATGTGCGTGTTTTTAAGTCTTATTAAAGGGGATCTATGCAGGTACATGAATGTCCATATACCCAAATCTTTGGGAATTGGAAAGGATATCAGAGGGACATCTAGCCCAATTAATAAAGGAAGAAATCACATAATAAAATATACAATAGTTATTTGTCCAGTCTTGGCTTAAAAGCCTCTAAGGAAAACAACTGCCTCTCAAGCAAATCATCTTCTTTTGGACAGCTCTAATTGTTATGGAGGTTTTTATTGGTTTTTGTTTTGTTTATTTCCTGACCTCAAGCCTAAACTGGTGCTTTTGCATCTTCCAGCTGTTGCTTCCATAGGGTTTTTCCCTGGAGAGCCAACATAAAAAGACTGCACCTCTTCCCCATAACAGCCTTTTAAACTCTTGAAGAAATGGAACCAAGATTACAGGAAGCAACTAGCTGAACTCTTTCAATATTCCCTTCCAAACAAATTTAACATAACACCTCAAATCAAATTTTGGCACAGCAGAGCCAATAAAAGGTCAGGTTAAGACATTCTTTCAATATAAGAAAACTTAGGAGGTCAATAGGGGGAGGCTTTTTCAGAGTGCTCTTAGAGCAGCAAACACGGTCTCAACAGTAGCAGCAGCAGCTTTGGGAGCTCTCAGCCCAGATATGTGGAGGGGGTGGTGAATAATTAATCAGAAGGAGATTACAGGGGACCCTTTGTTGGCACTGGGTACAGCTAGAACTGACTGGCAACTCTATTGTTCATATGTAGTTGCGAATCCTGGTCACCTTACCAAAGCAAAGAGGAGCACTAATATTTGTGGCTACAAGAGATCAGGGGCCATTCCTGGGTAGAGATCAGAGGACAGATCAGGAGAGCAATGATCTCTCCCAGAATCACAACACCCTAGAAGCACCAAAAACATGCAAACCCCCAGAACTAGTTATGTAAACTACAGCACACACATACACCCTCCCAAAAAAACTGAACCTAGGGAAATGCCACCCCACTCCACATATAGTTCAAAGTCAAGAAATAGGCTAGGAAAATGAGTAAACAATGAAAAAGAACTTGACCAAAAAAAGCTACTAAAGTGGCAGGAAAGACCAAGATATAAACTCAGAAGAAGACAACAATGGGAAATAGCTACAAGCAAAGTCTTAATTTAAAAAAAAAAGCTATCCCAAGAGAAAATAAAAATGGGAAAAGGGCTCACATACACAAAAACATTTATAGCAGCTTTTTTTGTGGTGGCCAAGAATTGGAAATTGAGGGGATACTTATCAATTGGGGCATGGCTGAACAAATTGTGGCGTATGAATGTAATAGAATACTATTCCATAAAAAATGATGAGCAGGTGGATTTCAGAAAAACATGGGCTTACATGAACTGATGCTGAATGAAGTGAGCAGAACCAGGAGAACACAGTACACAGTAACAGCAACATTGTGCAATAACTAACTTTTACCAACTTATTTCTTCTTAGCAATGCAAGGAGCTTTCCACATCCAGAAAAAGAACTATGGAGTCTGAATTCAGATCAAAGCATACTATTTGCTCTCTCTCTCTCTCTGGTTTGTTTCTTCTTTCCCATGGTTCCTCCCATTGGTTCTAATTCTTCTTTACAACATGACTAATGTGAAAATATGTTTAATATCAATGCATATGTAGAGTAATTATCAGATTGCACACCATCTTGGGTGGGGGGAGGAAAGGGAGGAGGAGAAAATTTGGAACTCAAAATCTTATGGAAGTGAATGTTGAAAACTAAAAATAGTTTTAAAAATAAAAAATTAATTAATATTAAAAAAAATAAGAGCCACTCTCCAAATAATAATCAAAAGATATGAAGAGCTTACAGATGAAGTAACCAAAACTCTCTATAGCCATATGAAAAAATGCTCTAATTCACTATTGATTTGAGAAATATAAATCAAAACAATTATACCTCATACCTATTAGATCAGCTACTAAGACAGAAAAGGGAAATGACCAATGTGAGGGGTATAGAAAAAATTAAGATATTAATGCACTGTTGTGATGTTCACAGTTGTAAACTAATTCAACCACTCTGTAGAACAATTTGGAACTATGCCCAAGGGGCTAATAAACCACACATATCTTTTGACCTATCAATACAATTACTAGGTCTAAAAAGGAAAAGGACCTATATGTACAAAAATATTAATATCAGTTCTTTTCTGGTGGCAAAGAATTGGAAGAGGATGGGATGTCAATCAACTGAAGAACTGCTGAACAAATTGTGGTTTGTGATTATGATGGAATTTATGCCCTCAGAAAAACTGGGAAACACTTACATGAACTGATGCAAAGTCAAATATACTGTGTACAAAGTAACAGAAATACTGTAAGACAATCAACTGTGAATGACTTAGCTAATCTCAGCAATCTAATGATCCAAGACAACTCTGAAGGACTTATGATGAAAAATTCTATCCTTCCGCAGATAAAGAACTGATGGTGTCTGAATACAGATTGAAGCATATTTTTTTACTTTATTTTTTAGGGTTTTTTTGTCTATGTTTTCTTTTAGAACATGACTAACATGGAAATATTTTGCATGACTATCCATCTGTAACTTTTATCAAATTGCTTGCCTTCTCAATGGGGGTGGGAGGTGCAAAGGGAGGAAGGGAGAGAATTTGGAGATCAATGTTTTAAAAATGAATATAAACATTTTCATAGTTTATTATTTTAACAAAAAATACAACTGAATATATATCACAGGTCACATGAAACTATACACAATGACATTTTCTCTGCATAGTAACAAACATTGATGTATACTTGGATTCAGAAATGGATTATCTGTAACCCTTTAAAATGCAGTTTGTTTCAATGTTTAAGCAAGTCATAAAATAAAGGATTTTTCAAATAAATCAATAACATTAAGAATAAGCAAGATGTATTTGTGATCAGTTTTTCCAAGATGGTCATTTCTTGAAGATGTTAAATTTATTTGTTTTGTAAGAAGCTGCCTTGTCTTCAACTGATTCAGGGTAAAATGTCAGAAGCGTTCCTTATCTGATGAATCCTGTTAATATTCTCTCTTGTCCCTTTTCCAAAAGATTCTTATTAAAAAGTGACAATTTGGGGACTAGAGAGGCTGTTTGAACAAATCCCCAATCCCTGTCCTTACTAAAACTCACAGAAGACTTCCACCATTTTCCAAGGTATTTTTCAGCCAATCAAAAGCTCACATTATC